AACCTCCCAGCCTCAATTTTAAGGGCTGGAGAAAGAAGAGGGAATGTAAAGAGATCCCGGACTAGGGATGTGTTTATCCCCTGGACAGAAGCAACATCTGCTGACCTTCCCAGCAGGGTCAACAAAAAAACATTGTGAGCAGGGAGATGTTAAAATCCTGAGGGCTTACAGATCACCCTTTCCAATGGTTGATGCAAACCACTTAAATCTTGCTGAACCAGAGGACTACACACACCTACTCTCTGTGGTTTCCTCTGATGCACACGCCTTTTCTTTCAGAGTATCTAAAGAGCTAAATGAGCAAAGGGTTTTCCTTGGAAAGGGAAACAGATTCACCCGAGGCTCAAAGGAAACGTTAAAGCAAGTCAGACGATCTGTCCCGACTCATCTCATGGGCAAGGAAGAGTGACCTGAAAAGGGCAGAGAGTTGTTCTTTCCCATGGGTGCATAAAGTGGTATACTGCCAGCCCCAAAGACATGGCTCACCTCGGGCGCTTATGCAAAACTGTGACAGACCGCTGTTCGCCTTGCACGTACTTGAAAGAGAGCAATGGTTTGCCAGGAGTGTTTGGGATGCAGCCAGGCAGTCAGACCAGCTGGTACCCGAACATCAAACTCCAAAGGCTGAGGTCAGGAAGCGATGACCAGCGCTAACACGAGCTGGGATGAGGGGGTAAGTGCACACACAGGTAAGCGAGACAGCCTCTCTGAAACAGTGATTGCAGATAGTCTGATACACAGCGTGACACAGTTGTATCTCCAAAGCATTTCTGAGGTCTGCACTTGGCTCATTTCTCCAGGCTCCTATGGCAAACAGTCAGATACAGTTGACTTGGGTCCTGCAGGCAGCCTATATGTGGGGCTGCTCGTTCACAGCTCTTTGGTCTGTCTACCCCCACGTGGTTGGTTCCCTGCCAACCCCGGCCAGGCACAGAGGCTCCCTCTTTGAAGAGCTCTTCCCGCTTCTTTTGAGAACATCAGACAGCTTAAGAAAAGGGAGGGAAATAAAATAGGTTAGAGAGACTTATCAGGTGATTGAGCTTGGAGTAAAAAGGAAAGAGGAGACTTGAGAGCCAACATAGGCGTACTGTGGAGGTATGTTCGTGGCTTCCTTCTCAAGAGATTCAGAGGACCTCTGCAGTCCCGGCCTACAGTGGAGAGCTCAAAAGCTGGAGCTGAAGCCCAGAGAGGCTCCCAGGATGGCATACACACCTGCAGAGAGCAAGGCTCATCCAAGTCACTCCTAGGAGGACAAGACTTTTGGGGCCCAGGGCTCAGTATGAGAACAGCAGGTTTGTACCTTTTCTGGGACAGAAGATTCAGAGGATTCCCAAATCCTCCTCAGCCCTGGCAGGCCACAGGTTAGGGGATACACCTGCACCACATGGCGCATCTCTGCTGTGATAATGAGGTGACCATACGCCAAGTTTTTTTGACAAGGAGTTCCCCATTTATCCTGATTGAACATGAAGCTGCTGGCTTTCAAGGTCTACTAGGACAAGGCGCAGGAATGAGCAGTTGCGATGGGGGAGGCAAGTAAGCAGCATTAAAAAGGAAGGCAGCAGCAGCACTTAGGGAGGTGACGGGGCCTAACCTTTTGTGGGTTTGTTTCTGTTTTGCAATGCTCAGGCCTGGGTTTGTGGTATGCACACCTTGTTCCGAGACAGGAACATGTGAAACATCTCTCCGGATGACAACAGGGGCCTCTTCTAGTGTGAGCACACCGGGAACTTCTTTGTCACCCAGCTACTCACTATCCACACATCTCCTGCTGAGGAACACACTCAGGAGAACATCCTCTCTTAACAAGAATAGCTCTAGGAGAGTTCTTGAGAGCAAATACAGGTCAGAAGAAGAGGAAAAAAAAATCTGGTGAGCAATGTTTGCTATTCCTTTTGCAATAGATTCAACTAGCGCTGGAAGAAAGCAAACTGCCAGAGCTGGGTTACAACATGCTTTTGGAAAGATTATGAGATGTCAGTACATATAAAGAGGGACCTAGACTGTTGGTCCACTGAAGTGCTAATTACCTTATGGCACTGATTTCATTTGGCATAATTTGCAAAGAGCAAGCGCAGGACCACTTTGTGTATTGTTCAAGGAATAGCAGAATCAGCCACAGGAATAAATCATTTCAATTATTCTCTTTTGGCACATCAGCTACAGACATACCAGCCTCACTCAAATCACCACAAAAATCACTTGTCAGGCAACAGTGCTCTCCAGCCACAGCTTCCTCCCAGCGAGGTTTGATAGTATCACTGCAGTAACGCAGACATTCGTATGTTCAGCTGAGAGTGATGTTAGGCTAAAGGGCTGGTGTATAGCTGTTCAGATAGCCCTGCTCTTCACCGCCTTCTCCTACCAAAATGCTTTCTGTGAGATCAAGCTAAAGATAGTTCAAAAAATTAAATGCAAATAGAGTAAAGAAAATGCTCTACCTTCCCCTGGAACCACAGATCTGACTCATTAAAGGTTCTCATAAGCTATATTAGGTCAAAGCCACCAATCACAAGCATGAGATTAATCACCATCAACTCTCGAGCAATGATTTTAAAATAGAAATCTCTCTTTTCACTCATTTAGTACCTTTCACTTTAACTAGAGCCTCAGCCACCCATGGCTGCTTCCACTGGACGCAAGGAATTCCAATATGCCAACGGGGTATCAACTGAAGCACAGAGAACTGAAACGACTTATTCAGCCATTAAAGACAAAGGTGAACACTGTTCTTTTGCTGTTTTTTAAATGGACTGAAGCAGCTAAACGTCTAACACTGATATCAATTTCACAGGAATACCATGCTGTCTAGTCATAGCACTGCTCTGTCGAGTCCACTGCCCCGGCAGCACATCAACCAAGAGCCCTAAATCCAAGCCTGTGATAAAATACTACTGTCAGGCTCCAGGTATTGGTGGAGCCCCTACAGGCTTAAGAGTTTTAGCTTGCTTGGAGAAACATCAGGGCTACCTTTGAATCCCTAGCCTGCAAGTTAAAAGCAGGTACAGAAAAGAACACACCTTTGTCCAGTTAGTTGTGTCAGAAGAGCTCTCTCACACTACTGTGCTTAATATGCTTAATAGTAAAGGTCTGATCGCTCTAAGAACGCGTCAGAACCTCAACACATGTGGAAAATTATGTCAGGTAAAATATGAAACAGCAACTCCAGCAGTTACTTACGGTAAAGATAGATGTGCACTCTGCAGACTGGGCTTGTGGAGGTGGTACCGCACCCAGCCTGTTCATTCCCCATCTCTAACGTGCTTCAGAGAAAGGGAGCAGAGCTGACTACACACTGCGGATATTCAGTTTTTGCTCACCTGGCTAATGCTGACTTTGGTGAGACGGGGAGCACTCAGCACAGAGCACATATTGCCTGGTGGCCAACGCAAAAGAAAAAGTAAATCACTGGTAAGCTCCAAGCGAGCCCAGAGTGAGCTGGTTCTTTCAGTCAAGAAGGGCCCAAGGGGCATCAAGTCTTTTGAGAGTCCAAGCTTCAGAAGCTCAATAGAGGACACAGACCGTGCAAAGGGAGAGCCAAACACAAGGATCCCAAGGGGTGACTTCAGCATTGCTAGCAGGGAAAAGAGCCCCGTCACCTTTCAGAGCTGCACGAGGGATGGGAGGTGCTGGCCCTGGTGGGTAGACCCGGAAGAGTTCTACTCATCGTTTCCCCACCTTCAAGCCAAATTCCAGTTTGAAAATAAGGACGTTACAGCCAGTTTCTTCAAAAAAATAACCTTTATTGTTTTGGTTGTAAATATAAAAAAAATATGCATTGCACAATTTAACAGACCTACTTGAAAAGTGCTACATATCAACAGCACAACAGAAGTTGTGTCATGCAACAGAACAGGAAACCTAGGCAAAGCAAGACCACAACCTGAAGTCCTCATACCTCCCAAGATTTTTACAACAAAAATCAATTCCATTCACTTAAAACACATTTAAAGACATGGTTAGAAGGAAAGGAGCAATTTGTTCACTGTGTCGTTAATTAAGAGGATTGCTCCTAACATTGATTTCTTTTGTCTCAAAACATTACTCATGTTGGAAAAATTCAGATATAAAAGTAGTTCCGATAATGGCTACAAAGTCATTCTATTATATACGTAGGGTGTATTTGTTTATAACTGAATCAAGTTTTATGGATCAGTCTACAACTCTGTACTACCTCTTCTGCTCTAACACAGCAAAAGAGCATGAAATCCATCTAAGAATGAAACAAAAGGAAATTTGGGGCATTAATGTCGTGGGAACAGCGTTGGGACGGACCCCATACAATGAAACCCTCAAAAACCAAATAACCTCCTCTGAAACCCAAATGTACAAATTGAGGAAGAATGATAGGATAACTGCTGCTGTCTCACCTAATCGAAAGACTTCCTGCAAGTCATCAGTAGTGGTCCAGGGTTCTCCGGGACTGGCATGACTGAATCTCTAAAGCATCTAAACCAAGGATCATTAGCCTTTTCATATGGGGTGTTTTTCATATGATAAAGGTGCTCAGGAACAAAAAAAATGGAAGGAAAAAAAAATCAAAATCACTGGCCATTCATCTTAATTTGAGCAGTCTTCCAGTTGGCAACATCAAGGCAAGAATTATCTACTCCAGAAACACACAAAAAAGAAATTACTTCCAAGTAATTCCAAGTAATTTCCAAGTATTGTGTTACTGTTTTTGCAGTGAGCTTCCCTCTC